GATATATAAATATTTTTAATTTTTTTCTAATTTCTGTTGGATTTCTAATTCCTTTATGTCTTAGAGATAATTTATTAAGAAAATTTCATGTAGAAAGTTGTTTTCTGAAATTAATTATTACCCAGTTTGGAAACAAAAGCCCTGAAGAAACCCAAGGTTAGCAACAACTTTATTATGACCCTGGAAAGACTAAGGCTGCAGTTATCTCACCAGCATACTCCATGCTGGTTGCATATATTTATAAAAGACACCAATGAGTCATATGTAAACATTTTGATTATAAAGATTTTCTTCTTTTTCCCACAGACTTGCTGCTTTCAAACAGCTGCATCCCATTCCTGGGCTCAGCCGAGGGGCTTGATTTTCAAACCCTGCTGCTAGATGAGGAGAGGGGCCGGCTGCTGATCGGGGCTAAAGACCACATCTTCCTGCTCAACTTGGTTGATTTAAACAAAAATGTAAAGAAGGTCAGTTTATTTTCCACAGAGTTCATCTCATAAGTTCAGTTTTGTTGCTTTTTCTCTCTTTTTTTTTTTCCCTTCACTAACAGATTCATTGTACAGTGCCGTGTACCAGGATTTGATAATCTCACCTACCATAGTTATACAGATTATCTTTAAGCAATTGACTTTGTCACATTAGATGATCTCCTGTGAGACTGATGTCCTGCAAGAGGTCACCTACCTGGGGGATCCCTGCAGTGTGTGAAAGTAGCATCAAAATATCAGCAAACAGACAAAAATGCAGCTGAGTGTTTGCTTCTTTATTTCTCTGTTTATGGTTACCCTCCTCAAACAAAAGCGTTTGAAAGAAGATAACTGAAGACAGCTCTTTGCTTGCTTCTTGGCATCACTGGGATTACTTTACTGTGGTATTTAACAGAGCAGAGGCAATTTGAATGGTTTAAATTATAGTAAAAATGTTAGTGGCAATTTTAATATTAACTTTTTTATTAATAGCTAGAATTACTAGTGATAGGAGAAGCTTCCACTGGGGTCTGCTTTATTCCCTTGCCCGTGCCCTATGACAATCCGTTAACTCCAGATAATAAGCTAGCAATTTAGCCTTCTGTATTTCTAGCAGGCATGATGAACTGGAGCTTTTGTAACCATAACTGACTGCTCTATGTAAAAACCAGATGCTGGTACAGGAACACACACGAAAACTGCTCTCCTGTTTGTTCCAAATAAGCTTCTTACTGAAGAAAATTTAAATTCTCAGCTGTGTTTGATATTTTTTTTAAGTAGCAGAAGGAGGTTTTAAATTACTGTGTTCTGCTGTCTGCTCTGAAGAGGTAACTGACCCTGGATTAATACAACTGCAGCACAGGGTCTTAGCAGGTGTGACAGGAGAATATTTTGCCCCACGTCTTTGAGCTGAACACTTGCTGTTGTTGTAAAGAAGGGATAAAGTACCAGGCTGAATATCTTATTTCTTATTTTGTCTTCTGCAATGCTCCATATGCTGCTTCCGGGAAATTTGTTCCCTGGGATGCTTTATCAAACACTTACCTCGCATCAGCCACCTCAATAGTTTGCTCAAAACCCAAAACCTCCTCAGGATGTTGCATTAATAACAGCATTATTCATATTGCAGATTTTCAGACTACAGATTGATTTCTGGCATAGGCTTTCTGTAGGAAACAAATTTTGTGAGTGTGTGTGAAAAGCAGTTTCCTGTTTCTGTGGGATGCTGGTTACCTCCTGAGAGATGCTGAGTGCTGTCACATCCTGTTATATTAAGCAGGACTTGATAGGTTTAGAGATTCCTGGAGGTGGCAGTACCCTCTGTGATACACCCCTCTGTCCAAGCTGGTAACATTTTTCCTTTAGCCAAACCACCACTGATCATTATGGACGTTGTGTTTTCCAAGAAGAGCAGAACACAGGCTGAGCCAGGAGAATTAGATAGTGGCAATCAGACAGTGCCATTTAATATAGATATTGTAGAGCAAAAGCTGACTTTACATTGAAATGAAAGCTTGCCTTTGGTAAGCTGAATGGAGAATGTATGCCTACATATTTGTGGTAACCTGAAAGAAGGGAATAAAATCCATAACCAGTAGCATAGCTGTACTAAAGAAATGATTGTCCGCAGGTCAAAATGATTCTGCCTCTTAGTTTAACCATTCAGCTCATCTTTAACTTTTCAGACAAAACGCTAAGAAAAAAGTGTATTTAAATAGCTAAAACTGATTGAAAAGCTCTGCAAAGCATCCTGGTGTGCTGATTCCCAAGATCTCCATGAACATTTAGCAACTTAAGAAACTTATCCTCTCAGTTAAATGCCAGATAGCATAAGTTAATACCACACGAACATTTCTCTTTGTTTGCTCTGTGCTGTGCTAGTAGAAACTTGTCTGTGGAGGGAAGAGATGAGATGAAGGAGGTTGCATATAAATCTCAGTCACTGACGAGGTTTCAATGCTAAAGGATACTCTCCAGTAGCAGGGAAGTGTCAGAAAGTAGTGTTTGCCGGCACTGTGTTTAGACTGACCGTGGTTTGGGTTGGCGCTGGGCCAGGCGGCTCCCTTCCAGGCTTTCCTGGTGCGAGGAAACCACACATGTTGGGACTACAAGGATCTGAAGTGTGTCCTTTGTACTCCTCTGGAGTAAGAGTCGTCTGGAAAAGAAATCTGCTCATGCACAGCAACTAAAATGAGAAGTAATTGATTAGCATGTTAAATTTCTACCTATACGTGATGTGTTTAATGTCATTGAGGAAGGAGGGTTAAAAGAGAACAACTTGAGGGTGTAAGACAGGGACAAGAGCTTTGAAGTTAGAATACAGGCTTGTGCTTAGTTTGGGGGTTTCTTTCTTTAAAACAAAACTGAACATGAACAGTAGAATGCTCTATGCTGGGTAGGTTCAAATAACTTTATAAAAGGTCTCACTTTCAGATATTTGTTATGTTAGGAACTATAATACCTCAAAAAGCCAAGTCAGGATCCCCAGTCAGTTATTCTCTGAAAGTCCTCATCTGTGGATATAATTACTTGGCAAGATTATACTGGAGAGTCTGATGTTTTGAGACATTTCTGGAATAGTATTCAAAGAAACATCCGAAGCATTGTATCCTGCTCCCCTCTCTAATGTATACATACATATAATTTAATAACTTCCTTTTTACAACCTAATTATTTACCTAAATTAGTTAATTTAACTTACACATATTAAGTTATGGCTTTATTTCCTGGTATACTTTTCCTGATGAAATAAATCAATAGTTCTCCTGGAGTTCTAATTTCTAAAATCATTGTATTTTTTATTCAGTTTGTTTTGTAATTAGTTGAAACTTTCGTTAGCTGGCAGCTTGAAAAAATCCATCTAGTTTCCACTGCTTGCAAACCTTGTTATAAAAGAACAGTAAGTAGCATAGTATAATAGGAAAAATCTCCAGAATGGAAGACAAATGCAGAGAGCTAAAATGGTTGCACCCTACAAATATCTAAAGCTTAGTAAAGGATAATCATCCCTCTGTAGCAGGGATATAATTTCCTTGAAGCTGTCCTGAACAGAAGCCTTTAGCTCCTATTGCAGGAATAGAATTACCAAATATCATAGTCTTTTCTTGAAAGATCCTTAGATGCCTGACAAGCGTTGCAAGCTATTTGTAAACTGAAAGATTTATGGAGCAAAATAAAGATGTTCAGCAAAAGGAAGCAGAAAAGAGCCGCAACCTACATTGATCAGGGCATTGCAAATGTGGAAAATAAATCTGAAGACAGCTATGCCATAACCAGTAGAAGTGCAGTGTAAACTAAACATCTTTAATAGCATGAGGGGCTGAAAAGCTGGAGAAGAAATTCTATAGGAATCCTAAGCTCTGGGATTGTGCTGGAAAGATTACTTTGGTACATAGAATTTTCCTGTGAGTTTGCATAGTGCCTTTGTTATTTTACTCCTTAAACTAAATACAGAATGTTGTCAGCTGGGTAAACACTTAAGAAATAGCTGCAAAGAAATGGTGCACCTTTCTGCAGGTCCTGTGCTTGCTAACAGTGCACATGGGGTTATATGTTAGCACTATTATCACTGTGTAATCCACAGTGGGACCCACCCATCTCTGCAGGAATAGGAATGCTATCAAGGGCTGACAAGCTCTTGAAAAGCTGCCAACCTGCAGGAGCTGTCAGTGCTAGAAGACACAGCTACATGTGGGCCAAATAGATAAACATGTCAGAGCCCCAGTAGCAGCTTTGGGACAAGCTGTTTTCATCTGCCCCTCTGTGTATTGGCACAGGGTCACAAATTATCGTCGCTTGGAGCATCCTTGGTTTGTAGTTCCTACTATTTTTTGGCATTACCAGGTGCAGCTGCCTTGCGACATCCTTGAATGCCCTCTTGTATTGATTTTTATCTGTTTTCAGAGCAAAAACCACATATACATATATATATATATCAGCTGGGTAAATGCTTTTGAAATAGTTACAAAGAAATTTTGCACTTTTTTAACAGTACTTACTAACAGTTCAAGTGGGGTTTTATGTCAGCACTATTATCTGTGCAGGAAGGGGAATGTATATACAAATATATATGCATATTTATGTAAAACAGCACCCTTGACATAAAGGAATTGAATTTTACCTTCATTGCTCTGGGAAACCTCCTGTCAGTCTATGTAAGCATGGTCTCAATTAAGAATTAAGCAGGAATTTAGCCCCATACTGAAGGAAGCCTTTGGTTCTTGCCATCAAGGGATACATACAGAGTTTGAGATACTGCAGCCCTGAAACACAATAATAGCAAGATCGTTACCCCCTAAACAAATACGTGCTGCTTATTCTGTAAGTCAAAGGACTTAGCTTTCTGCCTATCAGCAAAGCTGTAGACTGTCTGAGGGTGAAACTTTCCTGACCTGTCAGAAGAAAAAGGCTTACCAGGAAATGTCATTGAAGGCCAAGAAGTCACACGGAAACCACTGGAGATACTGCAAGTGGGAGCATGAGAACTGGGAAAGTCTCAAATAAACCCAGTAGAACTGGAGGAGGCTGGTCATGAGTCCAGTCGGAATCACGTTGGTTTATTCTCTGTAAATAGAAAAAATTCTAAAAACTAAATGAAGTGAGGCTGAGATTTGTCAGGGGGGCATGATTTGACCCTCTGTGCATGGGGAATTATTTCCCAGGAGTAAATAAATACAGATGGCCCTAGTTTGAAGCACAGGGAACTGGACTGGGTTTTGCAGTTATAAGGATACTCATTTCCACCTATTTTACAATGTTTGCCTCCCAGAATTAATGGAAATAGATACCATCTTATCCATAATTTACAATAAAACTACTGGTTTTACTAGGTATCCATACAGTTTGGTGTCCTGTCCCCAAAATGTTTAGCAGTAGGCACCGAAAGAAGAGTGTGAAAGCAGCTGTAATGGTGCCTCAGGTTAAGGACTTCCAGAGACAGCGGTAATAACTTTGTGCTTGCTAGCCCTTGGAGCGCTCCTACTATTGAGCTATTTAACTCT